GGGGCTGGGTGGGAGGGCGGGCTGCTTTTCATGTCTGGTGACATTTATCATGCTGTTTAAATTCATATCTGGAAGAAATTCTGTTTGATGATAGTGAGCAATGTTTTGTGCCGTGTAGAGCATATGGCCGTGTAGAATTCAAGCGATGCTCTTTCATTCTTAATTTGTAATTATTTTTACACTCAACTGTACTGAGGTCAGAGAGTTTTAAAAATTAATGAGCTTCCCTGTGGAGTTCAAATACTAATGTCTGTGTGAGCTGCCACAAAAAGATAAGATTATACTGGTACATTTTTAACTTAGATTTAACTGTATTATTTTGAACATACTCCATTTGAAATATGTGAATCATACATAAGTTTATGGAAGTCTAAGTGTTTTAGGACATTAGTCCTTAAAATTGTTTTTTTATTGACCTGGAGAAATTTTGTCGAAATTAGACTGGAGAAAATGATTATTTTGTGTAGAGACATTGCTGAAACTTAACAGACATTATTGTTATGACAATGGAGAATACCTTATACTTTCGAGGAAATGACAAATAATGAATGAGCCACATGCTCAAAAAATCTGCAAATGGGCCTTGATTGTGAGTAATATATAAAAATTCAGGAGATATTTAGGGTGAAAAATTGCTGGCAGGAACAAAGAAACAAGTGTGCTCATAGATGAGAATTCTTTGTCACAGAAATGAACCCAGGGCATGGATTTAGGAGGTTAAGTGATTCTACATTCTTAGTGCCCCTCAAAAGGGGTGAGTCCAGACACTTAAAAATTTACCCCAAACTTTCATTTCCCACAATTTAAAAGCATTGTTTATGTTCCTGATACCACACATTGTTTAAATGAGGGGGATTGAAAAGCGGCCTGAGTATACAGTAATCGGGGCTAAAGATGCTTTTTATCTGGGGCTCCCCATTTACGGAGACCCATTCTGAGCTTCCTGTGATATATTGTTATGTAAATACTGTGCAGCCAGGGAAAGCAGCACTATGGAGATTCAATTTACTTTGAAAGTTGTTCATTATAGCAGGGATGAATGTTATTTATTGGATGTGATTCAAAGGCTGGAAATGACTTTTTCATTGTGGCACCCTTTGTAATGGGTGCAGGGTGATCTAATCTTTTTAATTTCGGCTTTCACACCAGTGGAGATGAAAAGAGATCTGAACTCATTTATCGGTTGCTAGGTCCTTCTGGAGACCCGAGTCCTGGTCCTGGTTGCTATGGCCAGCCTGACCTCAATCGCTGGGCTTTGGGGGACTTAAGCAGTTTCTTCTTTTTCTTGGTTTATTTTAAAAAAAATTTTTTTATGAGGCGCATGCATCTTGATTTATGTCCCAAATTGTGGCCGGACGTCTCTGGGAGTGATAAACGATGCCAAGCAGTTCGTCAGTTCTTACAAGTAAACACCGCTGTCCCACTAAAAATATGTTTTGTTCCGAGTTAATGGTATGGAACAAGGCAGCCTCCGCCAACAGCTATCCTTTCGGGTGGACGGGCCTCCGAAACTTGGAGCAAAGTGGAGGAAATTGGCTTCCATGTTCCTGGGCATTAGCATCTCATTTGTGATTCAGCTGGCGCGCCTTGGGGTGGCTGAGGACCGGGAGCAGGGGAGGGTCCCGCGTTGCCCCCTTCCCGCGGGTGCCTGCGTGCTGCGGGCGCCGAGGAGCCGGGAGCGGCTCTGTGCGGGCCCGTCCTCGGCTCGCAGGTGCTCGGGCCCAGCCGGGCAGGTGCTGCGGGCTCTGAGCATTTTTTTGCTGGCTGCTGGAGCGAAAGTTGCATCTAATTCGGGTGACTCCCAGGCATGTGTCGCTGGGGTGCACGGGTCCCGGGACGTCCTTGCCTCCTAGATCCCCGAGAGAAAGGACCTGGTGACTGGGAGGCTTCGGGGGAGGCAGCCGTGCCCAGCGCAGGAGCCCGCATGCATTTCCCGCTGCCTTAAAAACTGCTTAATTGATGCTGCAGGGAGACGCTCTGCTAATAAGATGAGGGAGACAGAGGACGTGTCTGGAAAGGCATTTATTGCTTATAAGCGCCATCAGCTTCCTTCCGAGATTGCGGCTTTGTTGGGGTAGTTTGTTTTTTTTCTTCTTTCTTTTAATAGTAATATGCTAATGGTTTTTATTCCAAACCGGCCAGCGCTGAGCATCTTCGGGAAAAGTGGGTTTCCCCAAGAAGTGGCATCGTCCTCGAACTGAAAGGTAAAAATTCAACATTTTTTTAAAGTGCCATTTTACAGAGCATTTCATGTACTTCTTGCCAGTAGCATTAGAAAACTGCTTCCTAAATAAAACTGTTCGAAACCTAAACTATCCTTTTTAACGTTTAAAGGTTTAAGGAAGAGACTGCCTTCGGGAATTTTATTGTTAGTCATTTGCTAAAATTGCCTAGTTTTTATTAGCAGAATACAGTCAGGTACTTTGTTTACTTTCTGCCTTGAAAAGAAGCAGATTTTTATATTTTAGAGAGAATGCTCATTTTGGGGATCAATAAAAATGATCTTTATCTGTTTTACGTAGATTTTATTCCTACAAGAGCCAGGAGTAGGTAATGTGGAAGGTCTCTTCCACCTTGAAAATTCTTGAACGAGCACCAGTGTTCAGAAAGAAGGCATCAGGATGCCTTTACTGGGCTAATCGCACACATTCAACTAATGTTTAGCTCTCTTTACTCGAGAGGCAGTTAAAAGTTCTATTTTCTGTTGTACAGGTAATAATTGCGACTGTTGATTTTTGAAGGTATTTTTTTAAACTGCTACTTTAGCGCTTTATTAAGACTGGGGTTTTGCAAAGCTCCATTGCAGCTCCTTAACTTGGATCTCCTCAGGTCTTCTTAAAGATAATACTTTGTTTAAGTGATTAATGTCACAAGAAATACTCATTCTAGGTATCCGAAGAAGACAAATACTCCCCGGTGTGTGGTATGTATCTGTGTGTGTATATGAACATATTTTAATAGAAAATGTCGTGCGAATTTCACATTGTGTTTTGCTTTGCTGTTATGTCAAAAGACTTAAGTGAATGCTGGATAGCGCTCAATTTCCTGAAATGATTAAACTCCGTCTCTGAAGAATCTGGGGAAAAGGCCTGTAATGACATTTTGATGACTTTCATTTTAAGGTGTAATAGAAATTGAGTAAAATATTTTAATAGCTATTCTCTAATATCTCACTTCCAATACAATGTTTTTATTGCTCATTCTAGCTTACAATTTTCTGGTGATGATAATGTTGGCTGGTAATTGTTTCTTACACAGAAACCATTTTATCCTCATGTAAAAGTTATTTCAGAAAAGTCCTCATGCATTTATTTCAGCTGAAGCAATTGCACTGAACTCGAGAGAGAACAGTATTTCCAGATGCCTCCTATTTTAATTTGGTGCTTCCTTACAAGGTTAGGTGTGTCTTACAGGGAGGACTATTAGATATGACAGTTTGTGGTTTAGGAAAACTAAAGAGGCATACAAGTCAGGGGAAGGCTGAGAAAGCAGGGGGAATATATACATATATATTACGCCCTATTAAGAAAATTGACGGTGCTTCCTGATGTCATGTATTTTTTTAATTTAAAAATGGGCTGAGAAATAATACATATGCATGTAAATACCCAGTTATTGTATCTATTTGTATGGAATAAGTGAGTGCAGATATATAAATGTAACAAGATCGTAGCCAAATGGCACCAGGAAGATCTTTGCACCTCAGTTCTTGCAGGAGATGTACACACAGTAAAGTTAATCACATTGCTTTTAAAGAATCAGATCTTTGGGGACCTGGAGTTGTGACATAGTAGATCAAATTATGTAAGTCAAAATGGAATCCTTAAGTCAGTCTTTCTGTGCAAGTCACACAAAGCCATTAACTTCCAAACTGCATTGTTCTAAACTCTAATTAGGAACATTTTTATTCAATTTAACTTGATTGTAGTGAATACTGAAAGTCAGGTTATAATATTATTGCTGAATTAACACACCGTCAGTGCAAATTTTTATAGATGTAAAATTAGGCTCCAGTATCTGGTGATTCTCCTCTCCTAAAACATTTACTAAATTTCCCCAAGTTTGCTTTCTTTTGGTAATTAATATTCCTTTCCAGACACTAGTGTGGCAGAACAATCGGCTACTCTTCATTTCTTTCTGCCTACTATCATTTTGGCTTTTTGCTATGCCGACGTTTTCTGTCACCTACAAAGTTCTATTGACTTTGAAGCTGTTTGTCTGACCTACTTGTCTGAGTTTGGGGGGGGACCCCAAAATTTGTGTCATTAGGATTTGAATTGGCCTTGTGTTGATAGTAGGATGTGGAATTTTCCCGGTAGTAGCAAGTTACTTGCATAATGCAATAAAGTCTTCAGCTGAAGTCTTAGTTTATTTCCCACAAAACATTTTGCCAAGTGGCAAACCTTTGATTTACACTGAGCATCATCTAGAATATTTAATACAGAGAAAGAGCTCTCAGGGGTGGGGCTCCCTCTTAGATAGCTAGTGAAGGTATCACCCCAAATTACTCTTTCAGCATGTTGTCAGGATGCCTGGTACACTTTTACCTACTGTTGTTTTGTGTTTTAATCGCCTCTGAGATGCAACAGCAGATTTTAATTTGTATTGCCGCCCGTCGGATACTTTCATTTAAATGATACCAGGTTAACTGAAGAAAATAAAAGTTATGTTGAAATGCTTAATTATATGCTCTAGCATTCACTAATAATAAATTGAAATATTTAAACATTGGTTCAGATTTTTAAATGTGAAAATTCTAGTTTGCCTAATGATGTTTATGATTTTTTTAATCAAGAAGTGACCTGAGTCCTTCTAAAGTTGCTAGACTTGGTGACCTTACGCCATGTCGTGGACAGAAACTTTTTGCACCCTTCGTAATATCTTTAAGACACAACTTATATTCTTAATGTTGCTGGCGTTAATTTAAGCACGTTTTCCTTGTGATTCATAAATTCTTGAGTTTCCTGTATTTTTCTGACAGTTGAGTTCACAGTCCAAATGCAAAGACTACAATATAGCATAAGGCGAGGGGTTTCCTTAGAGAAAGAAAGGCAAGGTAGCAAGCCGTGGCCAGGAGCATATGGTGTTTAATTATCACAGTCTCAAGGGTTTTAACACAGTTTACTGCAGGCATCACTGAAAATACTGGACTTTCCAGACATATTTGAAGAATTCCATTTGCTAGAAATTCAAAACATGGAAATGAAATAAATTATTATAAAAGATGTGCTGCCATATAGATTTAGAAAACATCCATTCATTCAACAAACATTTATTCAGTGCCCACCCTGTGCTAGACATTCTTCTTGTGGCTCTTAATTTAATAGTTACCCTTAATTCAATATTCATTATTTGACTGATTTTACAGATTATAGGGCTGTCATCAGTTATTCATACATCATCAGCTAATCACATCACAATCCAGATAATTTCGAAACTTGTATGTCTCTTGTCTATTCTTTAAATGGCTCTAAATATATTCTAGGTATAAATACTAATTCAAAAGAACACATTGGCAAAACGGTCACAACGTGTTTTAAGACGTTATCTTATTAATACGTATTTAGAAATGTTTAAGTGCATCACACCTTTTCCATCACTACTCAGGCCCATGATGCACCAGACACTAAGCTGGTTTGATTATTTTTACGCCTCCTTCCAAAGCTTCTTGTATTTCTTATACTTAAGGGACCTCTAATTCTGATTACTAATGTCTAGCATTTGTTTTCTATATGCCAGTCACCGTGCTAAGCCTTTTGCCTTTGTTTTCTAATTGATTCCTTTCAATTACATTATGAGAAGGGTAGTTTCGCTATCCCTGCTTGTAGATGAGGAAACTGAGGCTTGAAGAAGTTCAGTAACTCCCTCGAGGTCACAGAGCGACTGAGCATCTGCGATGACTTAATACCCAGGTCTTTCAGGTTCTATTGATTCTTCTAGTCATTGAACAGATACCATTGAGCCTCTCTGATGTTGTAGGCCCACTGGAGGTGTTCAAAATAAAGCAGTGGCCCTGTCAGGCAAGCCTTGGCCCCTAGAGGATGCGCTCACGGCCACCTTGATACTCTCATTGTGTTAGGCCCCTTTGCATCTGTGTAGTCCCCAGAGCCAAGAGCACAACATTTTAAAATTTTCAGACTTCATGGGACTTCTCACCATTTGGCTTTCATCTGTTCAACTGCATTATTGCCAGTTTCTGAATAGGAGTGTCCTGTGCCTGAAGGCTGGTCGCTCACAGCCTTCATGAAGTTTGCCTTGCGCTGGCTCTGAGCACTCCTGCACCTGACACACCGGCACTGCCTTCTCGGTGCCTCCCATCCCCCAGTGCCTGGGTCAAAGCCTGGGGCTCCCACAAAGCCTGCCTTAGCGGTGAAATCCTAAAACTCCTTCATAAGCACTGATCTGTTGACACGTGACATTTGCAGCAACTAATGGGATTTCAGGCTGGGCAACGTGTCACCTGTTTCCTATGTCCTGGCTGCTTCAGGGCTTGGAGTGCCCAAGAACTAGCAGTAAGAGAAGAAAGTGACACAAGTATGGCTGGAAGGTTTGGAAGCGAGAATCCACCGCCTAGCACAGTGTCTGGCCTAGAGTATGCAGTTCATACACCTTTGAGGCTGGGAAGAGGGGAAGAGAGGTGGGAAGGAGGGGAGAGACTGACCAGAGGAGGAAACTTAACAGGCAAGAAAAAGTAATGTTCCTAAATGTATGGTCCAGGACCTTCAAAGACCTTTCACTATTTATTGAGGGTCAGAGGTCCTATTAAGGAATGTAAAGGTATGCACAAGAATCTTTTTTTTTTAATATATCTTTATTGATTTAAAAGAGAGGAAGGGAGAGGGAGAGAGAGAGAGAAACATCAATGGTGAGAGAGTCATCGATAGGCTCCTCCTGCACGCCCCCTGCTGGGGATCGAGCCCGCAACCCGGGCCTGTGCCCCGACCGGGAATCGAACCTCCTGGATCCTAGGTCAACACTCAACTGCTGAGCCACGCCCGGCCGGGCTACACAATTATCTTTACTTTCAAATATATTTTTGCTTCTCCTGGGAATAATGATCACTCATCAGTATTAATACATTATGTATGTGTAGAATGAGCTTTCTGCTTTTTCTAAGAAAAAGTCCAACTAGGTTATGTTTATACATGTTTTCAGTCACCCTTCATGTCTATGAAGTAGCTGATTCTAAGTTAATTTTATTGTT